CTGCAGAAGAATGAGGCCGCAGTGAAAGAAATGGAGAGGTAAAGCATTATGTATAATAAAGAAACAGCAGCTGAATTAGAAAAAAAAAAAGCATGCAAAGCTAGTGGAATCAATTTGACCCTGAGCTTCTCCTGATAGTGAAGTTAGGAAACAACAGCATTAGAAATAACACAATCTCAGTATTCATATTTCATAAGGTGGTTACATTTAATACAGCTCATGAAGGGATTTATTCTGGAACCGAAATTCTTCAAACTGCCGCAAAGTTGTAGAAACTTAAGTCACCGCCTCTTCACATGGGAGAAGGCGATAAATCTAAGAGCAACAACTTTTGTAAAGAAACCAAAAGGAATATGAATTACAGACTAAAAGTGCAAGTGAGGACAGAGAAGAGAGGGTTTGAATAGTTAGTAAGTGAGAGAGAGGCAACAAAATAATGAGGAAAGAGGAACGCTTCTGAAATAAGCGGCGCAACGGAGAATCGCAAAGAGAGAAGATCAGAGGGATGAACACAGGCATGGAAAGAACAGAGAGAGAGAGCAAAGAGACACAGTAGGTCGAGCATGATTTGTAGCACACGCCCAGGCCTGCTGGAGCCGATAATGGTCGTCACTACTATCGTTTTTTGCTCAATCTCTAATGTCAGCCTCAACCCCCTGCTACTGCACATGAATTTTAATTTCTGCATTTAGAGATTTTGCCCTCTCTGGCACAGTTGTTAAGCGGCGTGGTCTAAGTATCACAAAATAACTGCGGGCTATGGCAATTGTATCAACTCTGTGGATGCTAAAAACCTCCATAATGGATTGTTAGAGCTCATACCAGTCCATACCAGAGCTCATGTTTACCTCCAGAATACAAGATAAACAGTAGAAGCACGAGGAGGAAAAGCACAACACCGTCATTAGTTGCTTTCACTTATTTCTGCTGGCTGTTGTGTTCATCTATTCATGTGATAGCTGATCCCATGATCCATCACGCGCACTTGGAAGTGGTAGCCATACTGTAGGGCAAACATAATGTTCAGACAAAGAGAAACAGGACAAAATAGGTTTGGAGAGAGAAAGAACAAACATGGAGGAACCCCATCTCTCTGCATCAGGAGCCCAACAGGGAGCAATTAGTCATGCTTCTTTAAACCCCCCCAATCTACTCTGCTCCGACTCTCGGAGTCATTACTCTGCTGTGAAGTTGTAGCATTGTGGCTCCAACACCAGCTCCTCTCTGTGCTCTATTAATCAGCCTGGGAGCTGATCTATGGACTGCACTCTTCTTCTTCCCACAGAGGTCCCAGTGTACAAGTAGGTGAAGACATTGTGGAAGCTAAGGTTTAGCCACAGAATGAGCCCGATCATCTGCTACATTAGTTTTCACAGCCCGGTACAGTGACAGGCAGGTGGACCAGTCACACAAAAGTCGATCACTTTTCATGGGCATTTATTTAGTTTTTCATCTGATCGCATTATGTCATTTTCAGGAGATATGTCTTTGCAACCTGCATATTTCATCTGGATCTTTCAAAGGTTGAACACAAAGCAGAAGTAGGCTCACTCAGAGATCTAGAAGTAATCAGATTACAAAAGGGAATTCAGTACTGGATTTATTGGGGATAAAATGGCAAAATGCCACTCTTAATTTCAAAAGCTTTAAATGAATTCTTATACAATAATACTGTAATAAAACTACTGTTCTTTGTAAGGTCCTAAATTCATCCAACTTTTCAAAATGGACCAATCTACCTCACAGCTACACACCTTTAAAGTCTGCTAACGACATCATATAAGATATTGTATTATCTGTTTTTATATGATCTGCTCTGCAGTTGTTTTTTAGACTGTGGTGTAAACAAACTGGATAGAGATTTCATTTTATTGAGGCAAAAACAAAACATCATGACTTCATATTTTATTATTAAAACATGCATCGCATTGCTGTTTAGTGCAAGTATGCCAGCCACACCTAGAGGAGCTCCTCAGTCATGGACCTCTATGCCACGAAGCTGCTGGTGCATAGTTCTCTTTGCTCTGTAGCTTACCATGGTCTGCTGCTCTGTGGCTGAGCTAAAAGCGCTTCCACTTTACGATAATACCACTCAGAGTTGATTGTTGAATATCTAGAGGGGAAGACATTTCACAAAGTGACTTGTTACAATGGTGGCATCCTATTACAGCACCGTGCTCCAATTCAGCGAGCTCTTTAGAACGACATAATCTTTCACAAATGCTGGTAGAAGCAGACTGCCTGGCTAGCGGGTGTATTCGAAGGTTAAGAGGTGCGACTCAGTACTTTTGTCCAAGCACAATCTAGCTTTGAAATTGCTCAAGAGACTCTGTAAAAGTTTGCTCATTACCTTTTAGAATTGCTTCTTGAAGCCTGGAGCTGGTGTTCGGGATGTGTTCCTGCTTAGCAATCGTAGAGGTGGAAACAGCCAACTCCAGAGTGTCTTTTAATGCTACTTGCAAAATGGCACCCACCTGTTATTTAACTCACCAAAGCCCCTGATATGCATTATACAAGTTCACAACAGAAGCTCAGCTGCTGCACCAAAAGATTCAAATCTCTTAAAACACACACATTGATCTTTTAGTTCTAACTCCAGCACTGCTTCCTCGTTTCATTAATACAGCCTCTCGCATGTCGTTCCACTTTTCTTTCATATTTGATATTTCCTTCCTTGCCATTTTTTTTTTTTTTTTACACTGCACCTGTTCAAAGCCATTACGCCGAGCCTACGTGTCTAACACGGAGTCAAATTCACTTTAGCATATACAGACCTGAGCGCCGCAGTAGTCACCGTGCAGCGCTTTTCCTGGGAAGCCATTTAAAATTCAGCATGCAGAACGCTGCCTCCTTCTTAAATGCAAATACAAGCAGATGCAATTAGCAGATACACAGCTGGACGCAGAATGGCGTAGGAATCTGCGTGAGAGAGCCATAAAGCGCAGCATGTTTCATGCATGACTGCAGAAACTCTTCAGGAAGCTGCAGTGAAAACTAAACTGCAGCAATGGCATACCTAGAATGAAAATGTCACAGCCAGGGAGCAAAATGTCCTTTTCGAGGGCAGAGTGTTCCCAGCATCGATCTCTACGCAGAAATGAAACAAGGTGGAGGAAAACAGCAGCTATCTGGTATCTGCCTGTGTTCTTTTTTTCCTTCTTATCTTCTGTGTTATTAGTTAGCTCTTATTAGTTTGACATAAAGGAGATGTGGAGGGAATGACAAGTGTAATCCTTCAGTACCACAGAGTGCGCGCTGTCCGTGTGTGCTGGGAGTGTATGGATGGCCCTGAGACTGCCTGCAGGCTGCGTACACAGTCCCTCTCCTTTCCCATTTTCTTTGCCATCATTTTGATGATTACCTTTCTTTACTTTTCACTTCTGTCACAATCTGTATTTCTGACCATATTTCTGGCTGAGTCGCTGCTTCTCGGTGCTACAGCTGTCTGCCTGCACACCGCATCTCTTCTTTCCTGTAATTATCTGTCTGCATGAAGACTCCCTCTCTGTCTCTCTTGCGGGAGAATGACTGATAACTCTCTTATGGCTTCCCATTGGATTAATTAAAGGTGAGGCTGTATGATACCCATATAGGCTCTTGTTAGTCTTAATAAAAGACCATCGTACTGCTGTCTGCCACGCTCTGTTGGTTGTGGAAAATCTCTTTTTCTTTGTTGTGTTTCCTATGATATTTTTTCCTCACAGCTAATGAAATCTTAATGCAATATTATCTGAGGAATAAACTCGATTTATTAATGTTATGGTCTAAAAACTGTTTTCAAAGGTAAACTACAGCAGCTATATGTGGCATTCTTAATAGTGTGGTATTAATATTCCAGATAATATAATTCTACACATTAGCTTCATATGGCTATCTTATTACAGATCTGTAGTTAAAACATTCTCATATCAATGTAGAAAAGAAGAGGGAGCAAGATAGAAGTGTTGATATAAGACTGCAAAGGTGTGATGATTCAAAGAGAGACGTACCTGTGGACTTGGATGTTCTCAAACATTCTAACTCATAATATCTGCTATAAATAAGATGATACTAAGATTTTTAAACTCTGATTTTACCATCATTACCCCACCTTATTAAACCAAATGCACACTCTGTGTCAGAGAGTTACAAAACTTAAGAAAACTTGATGAGTTTGCAAATAGGATTTTATTACTTAACGACATGAGGAGAAAACTGCAATGAGCTAGAGCACGTTAATTTTTTTTCTCCCACCGCTGGGGGAAAAACATCATCCATAAAATTTGGGTGTTATTATCTCAATATGTCAAGTTAATTATCTCAACGTTTTGACCTGGTACATTGAAATTTCAACTGGCAACAAGCTCCCATAGAAAGCGGAGAAAAATCCAGATATCTGAAACTAAACAGAGCAGGGATTTAGAGTCTACCTGAGTTGCAGCTTAAACTTGCACAGACATTTTTCGAACATCAACATTTCAATATTAAAGATGAATTGCTCCCTCCACATGTAACGCATAAAAGCAGATGCGTTCTTACTAGCGGAAATGCTAAATGTGCTTGGGTAAAGGATGCAGGAAGGCAGGGACTTGTCTGGCCAGCTTGCTGGGTATTTACAGGTCAATTACCTGCACTGTCCTCAAATAGACATTACACAGACTTTGCACTTGGAAACAACCACCTAATGTCAGATCTGAAAGATGTGGACATTTGTGTTCTTGCATGCAGCTCCATCGGGTAATGTCTAGAAGAAACCACATTGTATTTATGTTAGAATAATGAGTTGTGGTGCATTGCCAATGCGCTGTACACAAAAGCTGCTGATAGTGCAAACTTTTATCAGAAGCAGTGCTAAACGGGGTCAGGCTATAAGTACCAGAAGTGAAGCGTTTCACACTGAAAAGAAATTTGAGATGTGGCTCTTCTGTTGTTATTTTTCAAAGGAGGTATCTGTAGTGGAGCCTTGTTGGTTTGTGCTGTAACCTGTTTTCTAACCCTGTGTGTTATTTGGTGTTTTACAGGGCAGCAATGTGGTGGAGGACCAAGACCTGCTGGAAATTGGAATCCTCAACTCGGCCCACAGACAACGTCTCCTGCAGGCCATACGGCTCTTGCCCAGGGTCAGCGCTGCAAATAGTAACACTATCACACAAGAATACCACAGAGTCTACAAAGTGGATAATTTAGTCAGTCTGGACTGGGTTTATTGCAGCATCCATCTCAATGAAGTTATATAAATTCATGACCAATTGAAGGAGAGAATCTTGAGCCGGCCTGTACTCAGTCCTCTTTGTTTCATATAAAATTCAGCAAATCTTCTGCTACATCTGTTTCCGTGTGATATAACTCTCTGTGGGTGGCTGGGTATCTCTCTGCATGTTCTGCTCAACACTTGAACAAGAAGCATGCAGAGAAAGGTGCACCGAGCCACATTATCACAGCTTTGAAAGCACATAAAATTAAATGATGCGAGAAACTGCTAAATCCATACCTTCTCGCATCTGCAAAATGCACTCAATAAAAACATATCGACACGCTTTGAGCCGACATTTGCTGCTGAAAAGAGACCGGAAGTCGATTTTTTTCTTTTAAAAAAAGGCTGCTGCTATATGTTAGCAAGGTCAAATACTTTTGTGTGAGTGTGCAAGAGTCAAAGTAAGATCAAAAGTGCCCAGCTGCACACAGTGCGAGCAGAAGAAAGGAGTCTGCAACAGCGAGCTAAGAGAAAGGGGAGAGTCTGAGCTCGGAGATAAGCATGCTTCATAGAGACTCCAAAGAAAACTTTGATCTCCAGTCAGCATTTTCCTCCTCTCATCCCCAATAAACTTTTCAAAACACTGTAAGAGATGGAACCTTTTAACTTTTGCCTGCCCTCTCACAAAAAGACGCACACACTTGTGCAGACACATGTAGGCGAACACATGCTTAACTTGAGGTGGAGGTTGCAGAACGCTTGCTTGAAGCAACATAAGCTCTCTGAAGTGCTTATGACTGTCAAAAGAAAAGTGAATGAATTATGTATTATCTGCTACACTCAAAGTGTCTCAGTGCAAGCAGTGAGTCTGCTTTTGGTGTTTTTTTTTACGAACCTTCTCAACAGTTGTGCTCGTGTTTCCTTTTCCTGTACTCGTTTAGCTTCCTCACCTGTTTCCTTTCGACTGAGGAAAGCCTTTAATATGGAATGCATCTTGAAAATAAAGCATGGCACAGGAATAAAATGGAAATTAGTAATAGGTATGTAGGCAGTAAACATTCGCACCAGATCTTGCTTCAGATAGCAGCTGTTTTTATGCAGTAAAACTCCAGGTCTGAAATGTGGAAAATGAGAAGAAAGATAATCCGCTGTGCTCACAGCCTCCTGTTATGTACAAGAGCATGCAGCGAGAACAAACAGAACTACAGAAAAGTAATAAAAAGTGCGCTCCAAAGACAAACTTCTTCCTTAATCCCTTTTTTCTGCTCTGTGTACTTAAGGTGAGACCTATCGGATACGATGGCAACAACCCCACATCAGTGGCAGAGTGGCTGGAGTCTTTGGAGCTCGGGGACTACACCAAATCTTTCCTTGTCAATGGTTACACTTCCATGGAGCTGGTCAAAAAGATCTGGGAAATTGAGCTCATCAATGTAAGTCTACAGTGCTAAAAATAGCCATATTAAAAGATAAAATCTAATGAAAGCACAAAGGATTACATGGGAAGCCAAAACCTAATTTAGCCACTGGGTGATATGTTACTTTTTCCCAAGAGAATGAGCTCTGCAGTTCACTTTGAGTCAATTCCACATTACATTTCTGTGGCCATAAATACTCACTAGAGCACAGAAAAACAACAAAAATCAATTTGCAGCTGAAAATAGTGCCCAGTGCCCAGTGAGTTCACCATTTAATCCAGGAACATTTGCTAAAAACAGCAGCGCTCAGCTGTTTCAGGGAATCTCTGAGTTTTTGTTTTTTAACCATAAATTTGAGTCCCGTCTTAAAACTTCGGGCAAATGGTCAAGGTAGCAGAGTTCTGAATTCATTGCTTTTTCTTTCTTTTTTTCTTCGCTAAAGACATTTGTGGCAGAAGCCATGAAAATATGTTCAAACAAGACAGGTATGAATACAGGTATGAATTGGTTGAGGTCAAACTCCCTCAACCAATTCCAGAAACTTGATTCTGTTCATCTGGACGTTTTCACAGTGAGAGTTTCATCACTACTCCAAGTGACTTCTTCAGTCTCAGCTCACTGCAGGTTTCACCTGCCTTATATACATTTACATAGTGGCCGAAAGTAGTACCACTGACTAACAAGAGGCTGCAATTTCTGGGATTTCCTTACCTGGATGATTGAGCACACATCGAGACACCCCCGTCAATAGTCAGATATCTAGTCAGATAGCATAGCATTGGTTCAGGCAAAGCACCATCTAATTCTCAACCACCATCCCACAAGTTGATCTCATCCCATCCAATTTTCCAGCTGCTATTCAGGCTCCTTTAACCTGCCTAAAGTTGCTGCAAGCCACTTGGCAAACCCCCTCCCTCCCCCATTCCTAACATGCTGTGTCCGATATTGTTGCTTACATTCTTCCCACTTGTGGCTTGCTGTGCACGCTCTATGAAGGGTGCGGAGGTCCTAGAGCAGCGCCATAAAATTAATACAGATTACTGCAGAAGGGAGCCACAAACTTCTTTTATCTATAGATTTGACTGAGCTGGTGCTTTGTGAACTGGATGCTTGCTGGTTCTTGTCCTCATCTTTCACCTTGGTGACAGAGTGAGTTTGTATCTCCTATTGAGTGTACATATTATAACCCCGGAAAGTCAAACTTCAGTAGCCATGCAGGCTTACTGTTAGCCCTTTGGCTTCTTACTCGAGAACAAGGCTGAAGTTGATTCAGAGGCCATACTGTAAAGAAGGCCCATCAGGCATTTCTTCTCATTACTGTGCAATATGTGCTGAGAAAACAAACTGGAGGGAGGTGCATTTTTTTTTACTGTTAAATCATAACATTGCTTTGTCTTTTTCTTTCGTCATTTCGGTGTAGAGATTTCTGGTCCGATATCTGCAGTAACAAAAAAAAAAACAAGGAGCTACTGAATGTTGAATTCTCTCTTTCTGTAAATATTAGTAAAGGGGAACGATAAGAAGGTTTGACATTTGGGTTTATGTGTTGTCACAGATAGTCCAGGTTTATGATTCAATTTTTACCAACATAAAATCTTCACTCGGAGATGCAGTTTAATGCAGGCCGATCTCTTTGGAGTGATGTGCTTCTTTGATGCTGGCAGTGTAACGAAATCATGCTCGATTGCAGGGGGCGCCTGCCTGGCTGATTTCAATGAGAGAGAGTGAGAAGGGGTGTTTTTCCTTCCCTGCGGAGGATAAAGTGATGAGTGATCAGCTGGAGGAGGTGGAGAGGGAGTTATATAAGCATGTGGGATGCAAGATGTTTTATAGCGCCGGGGATACCGCCCACATGCTGCACTTCTGTGTGTGTGTGTGTGTGTGTGTGTGTCTGGATGCATATGTGAGACAGTTAAACTGTTAATACATTCCTGTATGTTTATGTATTTGTAATCAATGTATGACATGCATGGATGTATATTAATTTTAGACCTGTTCATGTAAATTTGAATACTGTATAGCATCAATAGATTTTCTGAATTAACTGAAACTGCAGTGCAGCACATTTTGCAGCCACTAGAGGGTGCTCATGTACACTGTATAGCCAAAAGTACTGCATGTCCCTATAAGACCTCAGATTGCATTTCACTGTTTGCACCGGGCTTCTTTGATTCAGGAAACTTGCTTTTATTTTGGACTGTACTATCCCCAACTTTGCTATCATAGTGCTTTGGTGACAATGCTTCACTTATTCAACATGACTGTGGATAAAGAGATTTCCCTAGTTTAGTATAAAAACTTACCCAATGCTTTATTTTGGGTTTTAGTTCATGTTCTATATAAGGGGAGTGAAGAAGGGTTGCAGGGAGGGTCAAGTAGGTGGGTATGATTGTCATCGGTGATTTATGACAGAAGGATAGCAGCAAGAGTGAAAGGGAAGGTTTGTAAGTGTAAAGCGTGAGACTTGCAATGATGTATGGTTTGAAGCTAGTGACACTGACAAAAAGACAGGAGGTGGAGCTGAAAGTAGTGTTGCTGAAGAGGGAGTTTTATGTGGAGTGACCAGGATGGACAGGGTTAAAAATGAATACAATAGTATTTTTTGTATGTTTGTCACACTTAAATGTTTCAGATCAAACAAGTTTAAATATTAGACGAAGATAAGACCAGTAAACACAACATGCAGTTTCTAAATTAATGTTAGTGCAATTAAGTTTTTGTGATAACTGGCCGTGAGTCTTTTACAACGGTGAAGAGAAATTTTGGCCCACTCATCTTTGCAGAATTGTTGTAATTCAGCCACAATGAAGGGTTTTCGAGTATAAACCACCTTTTTAAGGTCATGCCACAGCATCTCAGTCGGATTTAGTCAGGACTTTGACTAGGCCACTTCAAAGTCTTCTTTTTTTTTCTTAAGCTATTCAGAGGTGGACTTGCTGGTGTGTTTTGGATCTGTCCTGCTGCAGAACCCATTTGCGCTTCAGCTTAAGGTCACAAACTGATGGCCCGACATTTCGCGTTAGAGTGTTTGAGTAGACGGCAGAATTCATGGTTCCATTTAAAACTGAGACGAACCTTTTAAGGTCCTTTTGCTCAGCAGTGGTTTTTGTCTTGGAACATTTTTGCCCAGTTTCTTTCCTATAGTGGAGTCATGAACACTGAGCTTAACTGAGGCAAGGGAGGCCTGCAGTTCTTCGGATGTTGTTCTGGGGTCTTTTGTGACCTCTTGGATGAGCTATTGTCGCACTCTTGGGGTAATTTTGGTTCGCTGGAGTCCCACAGCTGTATATGCTAATATAAAGCTCAGTTACTTTGTTTCTCATCTGTTCCTGAATTTCCGTGGATGAAGGCAGATGATCCGATGTGACCACCTGTAAAGAAAGGACCAAGTTGTTTATGTTTATAATCAGTTCCTTTTGTTGTTATTATATCTCATAGTAAATGTTTAGAATGAACTGATATTTAACTCAACTCAGGAGCTTTAATAGAATGAATAGAGCTGGGTGATAGAGATGGTGTGCCTCCGTAGTGTAATGTACATGTTGGTGTCTGATTTTATAATTTGCATTTACTGGATGTAACATAGTTTGCATATATTTTAGGGGACAAAACAAAACAAGACAGTATCATCTAGGTAGTGTGCCAGGAGGTATTTTTTCCTTTATACATTTTGTTGTGAACTTAAACACAAGTGTGAGTCAGATATAGCCAAGGGGCTAATTTACATCAATTCACATCCACAGTCGCTGTGCAGTTTGATGTCGTATTATAATGAAAATAAGGGATTAAAAAAGCAGATAGAAAACCATTAGTGTAAGAGGGTGGCAATCAAAGAAACATGGTAGGGCAATCACTGCAGCTGGAGTGAGGGTTGTCAGTTCCTACTCTTCTTGCACCTTGGTCTAGGCCTACTCAGTAGTCTGTCCTTGATCAGAGTTCCCGTCATCCACATCCATATATTTTAAAGATAACTGCAGGCTACTGGACAACTCAGCATATATGAAGACTGGGGAAACTGCAAATTTAAATTTGAACGTGTTCAAAAAGAAGTATTTACTGTAGTTTCATATGATTGTTGGATTTTTCTCTGTATGATCTACTGTGCAATATAAAGCGCCTTGAGGCGACTACTGTTGTGATTTGGCGCCGTATAAATAAAATGGAATTGAATAGTGGAAAACATCTGCTTTTAAGCACAAGGTATTTGAATCAAATGTTTTCCCTGTACTAAAATAGATATGAAGGAATAATCTTAGCAGTATTTTAATGGAGTCATGGGTCCAATAACATGAAGTGTTACCCTTGCCTAGTCCGCAGTCTGCAGGGAGACTGTGAAGCTGGCCTTATCTCATGGATGTAGTGTTTCTTATCGATCTCTTGTGAGTACATCTGACTGGGAGAGAGTGTATGTGTATGTCTGCTGCACAGCATTGCAGCAGCGCACTGTCACTGAAGTAGTCTCTGGAGACTTGGAGAGGTCACTTCTGCACCTGAGAGAGGTGTGTGTTTGTCCGGAGATGGTGTAGAGAATGATGTATTGTGGTGGGAGAATAATATAAAGTGATGCTGGGAAGGAGATATGGGTTTAAGAGAATGACAGGGAGTGGGAAAAGAGTGAGTGAGTGAGTGAGTGAGAGATAAGAACGAATCTTTAAAAATCGAATCTGGACACTGCTTTCATGTAATCACCAGGTAATTGCCGTGGGCAACAGATGCAGTGGTGTCCATGGAGATGGGGGAGGAGTGTGAAGCGTTGCTGAAGTGTTTTAAAGTGGGATATAAGTGCGTGTGGATGGGGGCATAGGCCTGTGTGTGTGTGTGTGTGTGTGTGTGTGTGTGTGTGTGTGTGTGTGTGTGTGTGTGTGTGTATAGTTGGGCACATATGTGGATACCTGCTGTTGTGGGATTAGCAGAGTATTTCAAAACACCTTTTAAGCCTGCTGGTCCTCATTCGTGCACAATACAATGCAGACAGAGAGCAGGTGCAGCTTTCTCTCTGCAGTAGTGTGTGTGTG